GCGAGTCGGACTCCGGGCTGGACCAGCGCAAAGCGGCAGCTCACACAGCGCTCTGACTCGCCACAGGGCCTGCCGGCTGCAGAGACACACCGTCGTGTGAGCATTAATGTCCCCTGTCCACCCCCTGTCCACCCCCTGTCCACCCCCTGTCCACCTCCCTCTCCCTTGGTCTGCCCACCAGCTGCTTTGGAGAGAGCCTGGAGTGGCTCAGGCTGCTGAGGACCGGGAGTCCGACTGACAGGCACGTGCTGTGTTTTTCAGGGACGGAGGAGCTGGAGGAGGAGAAGCTGAAAGAGGGGTGTGAAGAAGAGGCGTCCGGGACACCCTTCCTCAGCGGGGGGAGAGGGGGCGGGCCCCCCAGCCCAGCGAGGAGCCCTGGGGGCCACGGACAAGCCCGGCACAGTGACGAAGGGGGGGGAGGGCACGGAGAAGATCTGGGAGGGGCAATCGACCTGCGGGGCATTTCGGTGGTGGTGGTGGGCGGCGATGATGATGATGATGATGATGAGGAAGATGCAGGAGACACAGGAGCAAAGCTGGAGGAAGAAGAGGAAAGAGGAAGGACTTTCCGGCTGCCGCTGGCAGGCGAGCTCGGCGGGACCCCCGCTCCGCCGGTCAGGGGGCGCCGCTGCCCCCCGTACACCTGCGGCAGGTGTGGCCGGCGCTTCGCCTGCAAGTCCAACTTCAACCGGCACTGGAAGGTGCACTCGGGCGAGAGGCCCTACAGCTGCACCGTCTGCGGCCGGCGCTTCAGCCAGGTGTCCAACTGCCGGCGCCACCAGCAGGCACACCTGGCTCCGCCGGGACAGAGCGTCAGCCCGCGCGAGGAGGAGGGGGAGGAGGAGGAGGAGGAGGAGCAGGAGCAGGAGCAGGAGCTGGCAGGGAGCGAGGGTGAGCAGCGGGGGAGTCACGGGGGAGGAGGAGGAGGAGACGAGGAAGGCGGGGGCGCCTCCGAGGGCGAGCCTGACCGGCTGGGCGACGAGGAGGGCGAGGAAGAGGAGGGCCGAGGCGGGGCGCAGAGGGCAGGGGGGCCCCCCGGGGCCCGGCTGTACCGCTGCAGCGCCTGCGGGCGCCGGTTCACCTGCAAGTCCAACCTGCACCGGCACTGGAAGGTGCACACGGGCGAGAGGCCCTACAGCTGCCCCGTCTGCGGCCGGCGCTTCAGCCAGGTGTCCAACTGCCGGCGCCACCTGCGCTCCCACACCCAGGACCGGCCCTACCGCTGCCCGCACTGCGGCAAGACCTTCATCCAGACCGTGCACCTGCGCAACCACCTGCGCACGCACGCGCCGCACCAGGCGCAGGGGGGCCGCGCCGGCGGGGGCAGGGCGGCCGCGAGGAGGAGGCGAGAGGAGCAGAGGGGGCCCCGCGGGGCCCGGGCGGGAGGCGGGCCGGCGCGGGAGGCCTACATCTGCTCGCTGTGCGGCGTGACCTGCGGCTCGGTGCCCAGCCTGCAGAGCCACCAGGAGGTGATCCACGGCATCGGCACCGCCGGGGGCAGGCGGGCCGTGTGCCCGCTGTGCGGCCGCGTCTTCACGTCCGCCTCCAACCTGAAGAAGCACCAGGTGGTGCACTCCGGGCAGAGGCCCTACCGCTGCGAGGACTGCGGGCGCACCTTCAACCAGTCCGGCAACGCGCTGCGGCACCGGCGCACCCACCACGCCCCCGGCACCGGCGCCGCGCAGGGGGCGGGCGAGAGGAAGGGGGCGCCAGCGAGGAGAGCGGCGCAGAGGGCAGAGGTCAGAGGTGAGTACCGCTGGGGACACGTTTGCCCGGGCCGAACTGTCTGATCCCCCTTAGTGCACCTGGTGCAGCAGTTTCTCTCTGATCCTGCCCCCGATCTGTGTGCAGAGGGGCCGCAGGTGCAGAATGACCACTGTGTGTCTCCCAGCTGGGGCTGCTGGTGCAGAGTGACCTCTGTGTGTCTCCCAGCTGGGGCTGCTGGTTCAAAATTGCCGCTTAGTTAGCTTTGACAATGGGAAGTGATTTAGCTGGTCAGTAAAGAAAATAAAACTTTCTTCTTTGAAAAGAGCCTTTTCTTTTTCTAATAACCTTCTGTCGTTCCTGTTGCAGCAGCAAAACATGCCTCGGCTGGGGTCACGGCCCAAGACGACCTCCCTGACCCTGTGACATCATCGCCAGGGGCGGGGCTGGTAAAGGAGGAGTGGCCGGCAGCCAACCAATCAGAATCCAGAGACCTGGAGAGAACCGTCCTCCAGCCGCGGAGCAACCAATCAGCAGGAAGAGGTAAAAGCACACAAGAACTGTATTTCTGTTGCTTTTATTCGGTGTGTCCCAGCTCTGCTGATGGCTGAAGCAATGTTTGGGCCATGATATTGGTCCATTAAAGCAGTAGTCCAGCCATTTGCCTTCCTGTTCAAACCTGGCTTTAATTAATGGCTTTAATTCCGGTTTTGAACCTCCGATCAGCGATCCCAGCTGTTTGCTGAGAAGCCGAACTCATGACGATGCTTCCAGACGACTCCGGGACATCGCTTGCTGTTCAGGACCTCCGACTTGCCGTCGAAGGGCAGTTTTTAAACTGGTGTCATGCGGATTCGGAATACCGCTGCCCAGAAGTTGGCCGGACTTACCCCACGTATCCTGGTTGCGTAGGTGTGGAGCAGGTGTTCAGGATGAGCGGTATTCCGAATTCGACCGGAGTCCTGCTCCCGTTAGGAATGGCAGTCGGGGGTCTTTGACCGCAGGACTGAGCAGAGCCAATGGGGTTCCTGCGCTCTGGCTGGGGGCAGCCGGTGCAGTTTGGGGGTCTCTGAAGTGGCGGAGAGTGACATCTGGGGGTGATCTTGTCCTTGCAGCTCGGGGCGCGGGGGCCGGAGAGGAGAAGAAGGCGTCCCGGTGCGCGCTGGAAGCGGGGGAACCCCGAGACCCGCGGCCCAGTCCAGAGGGGTACCCCGCGGCGGCAGCGCCCCCTCTGGGGTGTGCGGAGCCCCCGTTCCCCTGCCGGGTGTGCGGGCGCAGCTTCCTGTCCCAGGGCAGCCTGAAGATCCACGAGCGTGGGCACACGGGCGAGCGCCCCTACCGCTGCCCGCTCTGCGGCAAGGGCTTCACCAACACGCCCAACTTCACGCGCCACCTGCTGGTGCACACGGGCGAGAAGCCCTGGCGCTGCGAGGACTGCGGCCGCCGCTTCAACCAGATCTCCAACCTCAACCGGCACCGGCGCAGCCACGGGCACGGCCAGCAGGGCGGCGCCGGCGCCACCAGCTCGCCGGCGGAGACAGCGCCCCCTGGGGAGCGGGCGTAGACTCGCGGGCTCTCCGCAGCCACGGACGGAATTCCGCTTACCTGGAGTCTCTGGAGCCAGCCCCCCCCTGCACCCCAGTTCAGAAGGGGTTCAGTCGTCTCCGATGGAGGAGGGGGGCAGCGACGCTGGAGGTGGCGGCCGGGCGCTGGTCAGGGGGTGGGGGAAGGAAGAGATGGGAGTTCAGGCTGCGCTACCTCACAACTCTTGGGGTTCTGATTTGTTCCTGTGTGTGTGTGTGTGTGTGTGTGTGTGTCCCGTGGTGGACTGGCCTGAGTGTGTGTGCGTGCCTGGTGACGGTCTGGTGTCCCATCTAGGCTGTTGTGTGTCTCTCCTGATGTGCACCCTGTGCTTTTGGAACAGTGTCCAGCTTCCTGAGAAACGTAAACCAGGATTAAGCGTCTTTCTGAAGATGGATGGATAAAAGAGAAAGGACCCAGTGTGGGGGGGCAGACAGGACCGACCCAGTGTGGGGGGGCAGACAGGACCGACCCAGTGAGGGGGGGCAGACAGGACCGACCCAGTGTGGGGGGGCAGACAGGACCGACCCAGTGTGGGGGGGCAGACAGGACCGACCCAGTGTGGGGGGGCTGACACAGAACAGGAACTTCCTTCCCAGCTGTCAGCACATGTGTCCTTGTTCGATGTGCAATGAATTACATAACAGGCCTCTTAAGCTAGTGTATTTCTTAGACATTATTTTTAAAAATCAGTTTTTAATCTGCATGAATGTCCCCTAAGTATAGACTTGAGTTCTCCTTGATGTTGAGGTTTTGAAAACATTTAGAAGGTCTGTTTCTAATTTGTCTGCTAATTAGTACAGTTACAAGTACATTTTATTGACTGGAAACTTGGCTAGACTGAAAACTGGGTACGCTAGGGTTCTGTGAAAGAGCAGCATTTAGAAACTGCTGCAACTCCTGAGACCCCAGTCCTTCAGGGGCTCTGGGGGTCTTCAGTCAGGGGTTAAAGGTCACTGTGAATCTGGGCTCATGAAGACAGTAACTGGCTCGGCTCAGTCCCTGAGACCCCAGTGCTTCAGGGGCTCTGAGTGTATTCATTCAGGGGTTAAAGGTCACTGTGAACCTGGACACATGAAGAAAGTTACTGGCTCAGTACAGTCACCGGAAGACCAGGCCCAGAATCCTGTTGCCTTAAAATGTCTATGATGTCTGTACTGTCTGGTGTTTCCTCTGGTTTTTAGTGTAGTTTCCTGTCTTGTCTATTAAGTGCTACTCCATCCAGACAGAAGGCACCCAGTAGTAAAGACGTTTTGTCAGGTACAATGCCAACAAGTCTTTTTTTAAAAGAACTGGTTTATTTTTCTTGTTCGTATTTGAAATGTCAGGCCTGTTGAAACTCGGGAAGAGGAGAGGTGTCACCCTGGTCTCTGTTATGGCAGTGGGGGAGAGCTGGCAAAGCCTAGAAAAACATTGCTTTTGTTTCCAGTATTTTAATTTGGTTATTTTCTTAAAAAATAAAATAAATCCTGCAGTTTTTGAAGTGTTTTTGAATTGAAAACACTTGTGTGTGCCTGCATAGTGCCCTCTGCTGTTGGGATTAATATAGGGTTATAGGTCACCATTATACCACTCTTCTAAATACGTGGTGGTCTAAGGTTTGAAAACAGTTGTGCTCTTTAACAGCCGTTTTGTCACAGTCTTCGCCTGCTGGTAGGCTGGGGATTGAAAGTCATGTATTGAAATGTGTAATAGTTTAAAAGGAGCATCCCAATGTTTCCTGAGAGATGATCAATTAAAAAAGTGTTAAACTAATCAGGTTATTAAAGCCCTTAATTGTACACCTGGATCAAAAAACATTTCAGCCCAGAGAAGGGTTTTCAGTCCTGTACCTACTCCCTGGTCTTCAGTCAAGAAATGTTCCTACTCTTGATGACATTGGGCCAAGAAGTGGAAACTACAGAAAAGTACAATTAAAACCAAGAACAGGAGGCTCTTCTTTACACAGAGGGTGGTGGGAGTGTGGAACAAGCTTCCCAGTCATGTGGTTGAAGCTGATACTCTGACTTCTCTCAAGACACAGCTGGATGAGATCCTTCAGTCAGGACAGGAGGTGCTTCTTTACACAGAAAGGGGTGGGAGTGTTGAACAAGCTTGCCATTTATAAGATACATTTTTAGAAATGTATATCCAACTTTGATAAATACCCTCTAGATAAGGGAGCTTGAGTCACACCCACACACAATATAGTCTATAAGATTCCCATTTAGAAATTATACTTTTAAATTGCATCAACAATAATTTCAGTTGCTTTCTTATACAGTATTTTCATGTTAATAATTACAACGGGTCAAGAGAGATCTCCCTAAATCCTCCCCATCGTGATAAAATACAATTGTTTTAATAATATAATTCGTTGAATAGGTATTGAGGTCGCGTTGGGGTAACGTGGTCAGTGAGGATCTCTTGTGAACATAGAATTCTGCGACTAGCAATTTCTTCACTTGCTTAAATATTTCGATATATAGCCTGAAAGGTTTTTCAGCAGTGGTTTTAACTGTTAGCTACTTCTTTCCGTGACCAGACAAAGCACACTGAGAAACCACACGCGTGTTTTCATGCCTTTGAGTTAGCTCATGATGGGGTTAACCTGTGTCCTATGATTCATATACCCAATACCCGTGTCCTGACTGACCCACAAGCTCTAGCGCGGTTGCTAAGACGGACAGAGGCCGTCGCTAAGGAAGTAGTCAGCGGTGATTGCGTCACTTCAGGGTCCCCGGGCGGGCATTGCAGAGAGGCGGCCGAGGCGGAATATGGCTGCTGTTTGCACAGCTGACGGGGGGTTCCTGCGCCAGGAAACGGGGGACCTGGCCCCCGGGAGCCCGTCGGCCGTGCTGGTGAACGGCAGGCGGATTAAAGAGGAGGACACCACCCGGGACGAGTACGAGGCGGACGGGCAGAGCAGGCGCCATGCCTCTGCGGAGCTCAGCCGCAGCCCGTCCCCGGCGATCAAAGAGGAGCCGGAGGAAGACTTCTTTCAGATACGGCTGTGCGAAGTCAAGGAGGACGTGGATGAGAGGGCGGACATCAAGGACGAGCGAGGCGGGCCGGACGATGGAGACGCCGACTTCGTTAGCGGTGAGCTGGGTTATAAACTCGCGGCGCGACCGGGCGGCGTGCACACGCGTGCGTCTGGGTCCAGTGTGGCTCCAGTGTGGCTCCAGTGGGGGCTCTAGTGTGATTCCAGTGGGGCTCTAGTGGGGTCCAGTGTGGCTCCAGTGGGGGCTCTAGTGTGATTCCAGTGTGATTCCAGTATGATTCCAGTGGGGCTCCAGTGGGGGCTCTAGTGTGATTCCAGTGGGGGCTCCAGTGGGGCTCCAGTGTGGGTCCAGTGGGGCTCCAGTGGGGGTCCAGTGGGGCTCCAGTGTGGTGGCGTGTGGCGAGGGCCGGTGGGATGAGCTGGCACCGCGCTCGGTTCCCTTTCAGACCCCTGGCCGCGGGAGAGGAGGGGGGCAGGTAGAGGGTGATGCTCGGGCAGACAGCGGGGGGCTCCGACTCGTTTTCCGCATTTTGTAAAGCAAAATCGTCTCCAGGAGCTCAGTGTAACCCGGATTGTGAGCTCTCATTACTACACTGGATACAGCACAGATAGTTACAGCTTTCACGTACAAAAGGAGTTCAAGTAGGGACCTGCGTCACCATGCAAAGCAACAAGAAAGGGTTTATTCCACGTTGGAAAGAGAAGAAGAGAAACACAACGTTTCGGCTGTGGAGCCTTCTCCGGGTTCCCTGAAGGGTGTCCCCCAAAGAAGGCGGTCACTGGAGAGTTGTGGGTACAGCACTGCGGTGCCCCTGGGGTAGGAGCAGTACTGCACTCCGTCTCCAGGTCATCGCTGTACGTTAGAGTCTGTGCTCAAGCGACTTGATCTGGATCAGTACGGGTCCCGGTGTTAATATCCAGGCAGCAGCGTGGGGGAGAGACTGGGGGCTCAGGACCTGTTACTGGGGGGTCACGGGTTCGAATCCCACATGGGGAGACGGCTGTTGTGCCCTTCAGCAAAGTACGTCACTGAATGTACTCTGGGAAGTGCCCTGCTGTATGCACAGCTCCCCAGGAAGGGAGGATTTCTCAGCTGATTCAACAGATAGAAAGGAGTCGGCTGTCCCTCCTGTTAGTGGATGTGGTGCTAATACAGGTATATATCAGCTGCTCAGTGCCTGATACTCCTGCACAGCTGAGGAAGCGGAAACGGACTGCCCTCATGATGTGTGTCGGCCTTATGCACCTCTGAGTTTCCCAGGTCCCAGGACCAGTGGGAAGGGTGGGAGTCCTCTTGTGGGACTGTGGTTGGGTGCGTCTGTGTGCGTGTCCCTCGGGCGTGAAGCCAGTATTGCAATACTGGGGCTCGGGGTGAATCCTGCCACCATCTGCTTCTTGCATCAACAAGTCCGGAGATTCTGTGCTCGTGGTGCTGTGTGTCGCGGGTCGTGTGGCCGGTCATCTCTCTTGTCTCTGCTTAGCTGTGCTTTCTGCCCAGGGACTGGGTGCGTGGGGGGCAGTACTGTGGAACCCGGCAGTCCTTCGGGGTGGGGTGTGGTTTTCCTTGGCATGTCACACTGTTCTTGAAGCTGGAATGTTCTTTTTCTGCCGTGCCAGTCCGCACCCCCGGCCCTCCTGCCCCGGGAGTGCGGGGTCCCGTCCGAGCGTGTCCTGGCCGGAGAAGGGCTAAATCCGGGACGCTGCGCTTGTGCTCCGTTCGGGGACCGGCTCCCGGTCACGTCCTGCAGGCCGCGTTCCCCCTTCGCTTCGAGCTCCTGGTTTTCGTTCCGAGTTAACGTCGAAAGGCCGGCGGCCCCCCCCCGGCGTTCCAGAGGACTTGTGGGAAAGCGCCTCGCGCCCTCGCGCAAGCTCGGCTCTTCGAGGAGCGCGTCCCATGCCGATGGACGTTCCCGGGGCGTTCCTGAGCCTCCAGCCTCGTCCGGGACTTATCCCCACCGTGGTTCGGCACCCTGGATAAAAGCGCACAAGCAGCCCCCTGATGTCACGCCTCGCCCAGCAGCGCTCCCTGCGCCCGGACAGCGCGCCACCCCCCGGACCAGCCCCCCGGACCAGCCCCCCTGGATCCCCTCGTGTCCGGATTGCTGGAGAGTCGCCTGACACAAGTTTTCCCCTTTCTGTTTGTAGGGGAGTGGATTTCCCGTTGCGTGGAGTGTGACGAAGCCTTCGGGCGGAGAGACGCCTACCTGCGCCACCTGCAGGAGCACGCCGCCGCGCGCCACGGGCCCGCCCCCCAGCCGGAGGCCCCGCCGGCGGGGCGGAGCTACGAGTGTCCGGAATGTGGGAAGACCTACGTCTCCTCTGCGTTCTTCCTCAAGCACCAGCGCTCCCACTGGGCGGCCTCCCAGCCTGCCCCCCCCGAGCCGGCCCGGCCGAAGGAGAGGGCCTTCCTGTGCCCGGAGTGCGGACGGTCCTACTCGCGCGTCTCGGCCCTGGAGGCCCACCGGCGCGGCCACGAGGTGCAGCTCTTCAAGCTGCCCCGCCCGCGCGCGAGGAGGAGGGCGAAGCCGCGGGAGGAAGAGGAGGGCGGGGTGAAGAAGGAGGGCCAGAGGCTGCCCGAGGAGTCCGACCGCGGGGAGGCGTTCCTCTCGGAGCGGGGCACCCACCAGCGCCTCGGGGCGCACGCCAAGCCCCCCGAGACGAAGGAAGGGAAGAGAGCGTTCGTCTGCCCCTCCTGCGCGAAGGAGTTCGTGAGCGCGGTCGCCCTCGGCACCCACCAGCGCTGGCACGCCCGGCAGGCGCTCGGCCGCGAGGGCACGCCGGCCCTCTGCGAGGACTGCGGGAAGGTCTTCTCCTCGCCCGCCTCCTGC